GTTGTCTGATGTTTTCTTGCGGTTAGATGAAGGTCATGTGATTCTGGCGTGAGCACCCCGAAAGTGGTACTGCGCCCTCCTCAGTGTGTCCGGTCGGGCTGCGTGTGACGTTGCTGCGCCCTGTTCCTGGGTCGAGAACCGTGTCCTTGGTTAGGTGCTGATGCCGGTTTCTCCACGGGAAACGTCTGTGGCGGGGGGCACTTCGAGGCTATGCCTAGGTTCTGTTTTTTACCATATTTTGGTAGGGTCATGTTTTCACGCTGCCACAAATTTTTTTGTATCATTAGATGCAAAGGACAGAAACTTGATCTTTCAGATTTCTGCAACTGTCTTGTCACAGACCCCCAACAGTTTGCAGGCCGGCTCCGGACCGTGGCCCACCCTTCGTGGAGCTGTGCTCCGGGCCCCCCCTCCCCCACTTTGTTTCCCTGTTGCAGTGAGACTGGAGTCTGAAGAGCACGCCCAGCTGCGTCTTCAGATGCTCCCTGTAACCTTTGGGTAAAGAGCCAACTTCTAGCCTGACATTGCAGGCGCAGCACGCGGCTTCTCCTTCTTTCCCATGGACGCCCCACTGCTCAGAACACGTGCCGCCTCCCCACACCTGCGCACCTGCCTCCTCACACACCTTGCCGCCATCCCCACGATTTTTTGAGGCTCCTGAACACTTCTTAGCAGTCTGAGCTGGTTAGGTTTTCTCTGTGTTGATTCCCTTACGCACTGTGCATACTTCTCTGAAGGAAGTTAATTTTGTTTTATATTTGTTTATCCGTTAAGTCACTTGACTCTGAGTTGGAGGGCGTGGACTTTGAATGTATAAGATCAGTTCCTGGTGAGGGCTCAGCAGTGTTAATCATAAATGGATTTCTAAGAGAAAGTTTCCTGGATGGAAAGTCTCCCTGTCCTAGGGAGGGTGTGTATGACAAGGCGGATGGCCGAGAATCAGACACAGTGGGTGGACGGGTCCTTCGGGGAGGACGGTGTCTCCTCGGTTGATTCGGTCAGCTGCGCAGGCGGGGTCTAGACTCTGCTGTGGGCTCACTGCGGGGACAGACAGGTGAGCAAACTCAAGGCAGTTCGGCTCCCCGACGGACCTGCGCCCTCTCTGGGCTTGGGAACCGCTTTCTTTGTCTTGGCTGCACCGAGCTGCAAGACCCTTTGCTGTCCTTTCCTCTGAATAGAGGAAATATGGTGGGGGAGGGGAGGGGAGGAGAGGGACACGCTAGTGTCCTAACATTTGAAAATGTTAGTAATGGTTTGAAATCCAGCCCAACGCACTTCTGCAGCTCTTGGGGCAGAAGCAGCAGCCTCTCCCTGATCCCACTTTTCCCCCAGAGTTGCATCTAGTCATTCATGTCTAAATATTGCCAACTTGCTTTATAGTGAGCCTTCATTATCAAGCATCAAATAAAAATTAAAAAAACATGTCCCAACACCAGGGTGACATTTACTGTGGGCACGGGAGGGAGTCAGATGCCAAATAATGTATCCTCAGGGTTTTCACGTCATTTGAAATTTTCTCACTGAAACAGCACCTCCTGTGTTAATGACATGAACCACAAACACGCAAAATCCCAGTGGACCTTCCAAAACAAAGCCCGTGAGGAAAATCCTTTAAGCACACGCAATTTATCCCCAAAGTTTACTGTTAAGAAGAAAAATAACACCTCCTTGCCCCTGCAGACGAAACAAAACGAAATGAAACAAACACCCACGTCCAGTAGTCCCAGGAATTACGTTTGAGACGAGCCCGGATTTCACGTTACTCATCTGGAATCGCAAGCAGTGTGAACAGATGGCCAACTATTTTGTAGGTAGTATCTTCACAATCCTTCGACGATTAGGAATACTTTCAAAAAGATCTCTATTTTGTTTGTTTTGGGGTGAAACAAAATTCAGATAAACCCCTTTGCTTCCCATCCTCCAGGCTGCCCACGAACCACAGACATTTCGCTTTTGAAATTCAGTAAATGATGGGCTTATATACAGTAACACGATCCTGGTGACTCAGGTTCCTGGGGTTGCCCACAGCAGGGCCCCGAGACAGGGTCTGTGCCATGGGTATCCGAGGTCTGCTCCGATGATCGGAGACTCGCTGCCTGAATAATCCCTTTCGAATCGGCCCCCTCAGCTTCCTCCCGAGGCGAGCCCGGTCCTCTGGTCTGCAGAGGCCCGAGCGCCAGGGCCTCCCTCCGGAGCGCCTGTGAGGTGGCGGAAGAGAGCAGGGAGTGCGCAGGGCCCAGCGCAGGGCCCGCTCCGGGCATCGGGACCCGAGCCCCCTGGTGGAGCCTCTGCTGGCAGAAGAGGAGGTGCTGGAAGTAAGCAGCCTGAGTTTTTAAAATCAACTGTTATGAACATAACAAAGACAAGCGAGTATTGTTTCCATAGGAGTCTACAGTCTGTGGATTTCAGATGTTTTGTCTAGAACTCATGGTAAAAAAAAGAAAAGTTAAAACCCATACAGTGCACATACGGGGTGGGGCACGGGTAGGTTTACAGTCGTGCGTACACAAAACACAGTTTGTTCTCACGTCCTTATTTCTTAATTACTGTATTATTTTCCATGCCAACAACTGTAAACCCACTCGGGCCCCACCCCATATGTGTACCTTGTGACCGATACAAAACCGTCACGGAGCAGTTCCATGCGTGACGCCCTTGAGCGTTCTCTATTTCATTATTTCTAATTAAGAGAATGGGAGTCTGTACCCAGGAAACTCCTCATCTCTCGCTTCTCCTAGTCTGGGCGGATGCTGGCTTGCACAGTCACGGGTGCCTGCGGCCACTCTTGCTCAGGACTGGCTTGGGAGTTCTTTTGGAATTACATTCGGGGTTAGCCCACACGTCACAGGAAATGTCGTAGGAAGTTTTTTTTGATGAAAAGTAATTTTATTTAGCATGGGTTCCCTTTTTATTTACTGGACATGGCTCTAAATGATGTTCGTCCAATTGAAGAGCAAAAGTGTTGTAGTCGATCGTTTTCGGGAGACTGAGTGTTAGGACGTGGTGACAAGAGACTTCAGGGGTCGTTCAGGGTGGTCCTGCCGAGGCCGGGAGAAGCATGAGCTGCGATGTTCCAGAGTGAACGCAGGTGGGTCACGGAGTCCCGTGTTCCTAAGAGAATGTCTTGTAGAGAGAGCCCTGTCGTGAGAAGGCTGGTGTTGGGGTGGGCGCTTGGGTGTGATGTTGGGGTGGCCGTGGTGGAGGCACCAGGAACCTCGAGGTGCCACTGGCGGAGGACTGGTGTCTGTGACCCTGTGACTCTGGGCTGTGCTTGCTAGGGCCACGCGGCCATGCGTGAGCTTGGCTGTTTCAGCGCAGTCCTGATAAGAGTACAGGCAGGGTCTGGCACAAATAATGCCCCTTTTTAATGAGCTGGCCATCTATACCAAATCTTCTATTACAAAATCATAAGTGTGTCATTCTGTAACATAACAACGTCACACTCAAGCACACTGTGTGTCATTTTAGGTGAAATGTTCCAATTGCTGTCCGTCTCTTGGGAGACGTTCATATCCCCTACCACCCACACTCAGTGGTGTCCCTTCTGCCGGACCGTGAGTCATGAGCATTCACAGAGACCAGTTTGGGAAGAGAGAGGGTTAAACGCAGGAAGCCGAGGAACACGGGCCACGTGCTGGGCTGAACTCGAGCTCGGTCTGGAGTCTCTGCTTGTCCCATCCTGCCCGGCCATCGTACGAGGAGCTCCACACACAGATCCGAGCCCGCCATTGCTCAGGAGAGGGGGAGTGTAAATGCATTTAACATTTGGAGTCAAAACCGTCTCCCTCTGATACACATTGAAACTACAGAAATGACACACTGGGTTTGCCTGATACCACGGCAGGGCTTTCCAAATGCTTCAGTCTGTGGGAGATCTGCCTCTCACGTCCCCGTAACGCACATTGGTAAACATTGCGGTCTTCTGGGGGCTAGTCTCAGGGGCCTTCTAAACCTTTTTAAGATTTTAAGATAAATCAATGTATTATCATAGACAAGTTCGAGGGAGGCCAGGCGATAAATCCTGGTTCCGTCCACCTGGCGCATCCTGTGAGACCGACAGACTGCTTGTACCTCCAGGGAAGGCAACACACCGAAGGGCTGCAGTTGGTCCGACCACGTAAATGCCAGTAAAATGAAGGAGTCTGATCTTCTTAAAAAACTGAAGCAGGATCAGCTAAGTCCAGCTTGCGGGCCCAATGTGGCCTGCTGCCCGTTTTTGCAAATAAAATTTCATCGGAACACAGCCACGCCTGTGTACCTGTTTTTCAGGCTGCTTTTACATGGCAGTGGTGGGGTTCAGTAGTTGCTATAGAGACCGAGAGGCCTGCAAAGCTTAAACTATTTATATCTGACCTTTTACAGAAAAAGTCTACTGACCCTCGGACTAAAGGCCTATGGAGAGATGAAGTATTGGTTTAAAAAAACCTGTCACTATTGAATCAAGGCTATTTTCTCTTCAACTGCGTGGAAAAATTCTACTAGATGATAATTTTTTAGCTCGGTTTAATGAGGGAAGTGCCTGGAGCCTGGTGGGTGATTGGTGTCTACATTTTTTTTAAAGTTAAAGACAGCGTGAAATTGGCTGCACGTTGAACCAGGTGTCTGATGAGGTGTGTGTGGAAGATCACGGTACAGTGTGCCGATCAGTCACCTGTGCGGTGACGATGGGTTCCGGGATTTCAGCTGGAGCGCCTGTTGTGATAGTCTTCGTAATAATTGGGAATTTTAATAAAATTTACGTTCATAAATATAATTCTGAGTTTTGTTTGCTGCAGATGAATGAGGCTAAGCTAATAGACATTTGCAAAGAGGCTTCCTATTTCTCGTGCTTAATAGTGCTTAATAGTTCAGTGTGTTAACCACGAGTATGTATTTAATCACATGACTTCTCAGCCACAGAATTTAGGTCGTCGTGAGGTGGGGGCTGCAGCGCTGCCCAGTGGGGCAGCGGTTCAAGTACAAGCTACCTAATGCGTGTTCATCTTTTTATCTCTTAACAGACTCGTGGAAGAAAGCAAACTGATCCCGGTCATTTTTGAAGTCATTCTGGTAAGGAAATAAGCATCTGAAATTAAAAAAAATTTTTTTTAAGGTTTTGACCATCTTGCAGGGTTGAGTTCCAACCCTAACTCCGCTCAGAAGGCTTTTGTGTGTCCTTCATGACCTTACTTGACCTTCCTGGGCCTCAGTTTTCTTGTCTGAGCTCTGTCCAGCTCCGAACTCCTACAGGGACACTGCTTAATGGCCTGCCTGCTTTCCACAGGTCCTTTGCGTTTTCCTTCGATTGACTTAAACCCTGTGTTATGTGATACAGGGAGAACACTTCTTCCGATGTTGGTTTGTGGAGGGAGGGAGGAATAACGAACTTGCCAATGTTCCCAGCGAAGCCTTCTGACTTCGTGGTCGCTGGGCCAGACCATCAGTTTTATGGGCAGGGGCTTGTCTTCTTTGGAAGGGAGAACAGCTTAGCGCCCCTGCACCATCAGTCATAGAGTGGGACTCAACTGGGAACCATCTGATTAAAAAAAACCTGTTATCTATGGGATTTTGTGTGTGTGTGTGTAGGGAATAAAATAGGATGCAGAGTTGACTTTCCTCACTTCTGATAAACCCCTACTTACAATAAGCACAGATTGGAAGATCAGGCTGCACATTGAATTGGTGCGTATAGCAGGGCAGCGCCTTAACCAAAGAACTGTGCTTTGTATCTGGAGGGGTATCCCCTTGATTAAAACCCCCCCTTTGCTACCTGACAGCACACCGGGCACTGCAGGGGACAGGTCAGCCGAACCTACCTTGGTCGTCGATGCAGCAGTAACTGGGGTGGTCCGAGAACCCTTCACACAGAAAACCAGCTTCTTGACTCACCCTGAGGCATTATTGTGCATGTTGCTTGTGTGTTGATACAGCTCTGTGGTGAGAGCATCAGTTTTCTTAGACCCTGATCACCCTTGCCTGTCTGGACAGGCTGCTTGAAGTTGCCGAGCCGTTTGAACTGGGATGGGGAGAAGAAGTGGGAGTGGGTTTGAGCTTGGATTGCGATCGGCTCAAATAGTAGAAGGCTCACACCAGTATGCCGCATACCTGAAACTCGTGAAACAATACTGAATGTGAACTGTGATTGAAAAAAATGCAAACTTCAAAATGAAACAAATGGTGAAAGGAGATTTTACAGGCGGTGTTAGGAGGACGGGGTGAAGAAACATACAGATGAAGGACTTTTCCGTGGGGATTTTAAAGCTTTTCCAGGTGGCCTGTGTGTCTCCCCAGCGTCAGTTGGACATACATTACTTGCTAATTTGTAGTGGAGTTGGATTCTTTTGGAGAACAATGGGTAGAGTAAGCTGCTGGCTTTGGCCACGTGGTCGGCGGGGGGTGGGGGGATGGGGGCAGGTGACTCAGCTGCATCTGATTTGCATTTGAAAAGAGACTGGTGCTGCAGATGGAGACAAGACTGTAGTGCTCACAGTGGGCCTCACGGGTAGGTGGGACCATCTCTCTCTGGGGCAGGAGGGCCTCCAACCTGGTAAGAGCAAGACAGCTTCTTTGGGGACTGAGAAAAAACTTCCCATCTTTTGGTGATCCTCGCAAGGTCTCAAGTCTGCACGTAGAAGTTTCTTTGTGTAGGTTTCAAAACCCCTCCATGCTTGATGAATCTTTGTATAACCTGGGAAGGGTTCATGTTCTACAGACTCAGCAAATGTTTAGCTGATTAATGCTGTAATTAACCCCGTCATCGTGCTGTGGCTATGGTAGGGAGTGGGCAGACAATGTCATCCTTCCCGGTCAGGATTTCTTTTTTTTAAAGGTTTTATTGGGTTGGCCAAAAAGTTCATTTGGTTTTTTGTGTGTGTAAGATGGCTCTAGTAGCCCTTAGTTGTCTTTAATGTCATTTGAAACAGTTTTGTTAGGTTGCATCCGTGACAGCTGTCATATCAGCGTGCATTTAAATAAAACTATCAAAATTGGTGATTTTTTTGTATAGCCATTTTAATACTGAAGATGGAAGAAAATACATAGCATTTTTGGCATATTATGCTTTATTATTTCAGGAAAGGTAAAAATGCAACTGAAATCTATAAAGGACTTGTGCAGTGTATGGAGAAGGTGCTGTGACCGTTCAGACTCGTCAGAAGTGGTCTGTGAAGTTTCGTGCTGGACCATGCTCCACGGTCAGGTAGACCAGTTGAAGTTGATAGTGATCAAATCGAGACGTTGAAAACAATCAACGTTCCACCACACAGGAGAGAGCCGACATACTCAAACTACCCAAATCAATGAAGTCGTTAGTGAAAATGAAAAATGTATTCTTTATTTTATGAAAAAAACCATATAGACTTTTTGGCCAATTCAATATTAAATTATATTTTTAGAGACATGGGAAGGGAGGGGGAAAGAAAGGGCGAGAAACAATCCATGTGAGAGAAACGTCAATGGGTTGCCTCTGGCACACACCTGGGACACCAACCTGCAGCCCAGGCCTGTGCCCTGACCGGGAATCGAACCAGGGACCTTTCGCTTTGTGGAATGACACCCAACCCAATGAGCCCTGTGACCCTGCAGGCGGGTGTGGGATGACCCCCTTCCTGTAATGGGAACAGCTCCGCACTCAGGTTTCTGGTGGGACAGCGTTTTAAAGGAGATCCTGCTGCTAAAAAAAGTAAAGGGAAAAGAACCGTTGGAAATGACTGCTTTGTGGGACAGGACTCGGATGTTCTTAAAGAACAGCATTGAACCCCTATTCTACCTTTGTCTTCCTTGAGTTGAATAATCTCAGCTTTTCCCTCCATATAAATACATTTTCTGATCAAAGAAATATCTCTGTAGCACTTATCCTGCGAACGCTTTACCTTGTCCTTTCTAAATTTTGTCAGTGATCTGTGCACGAGAGAGTATTTTATTGGTTGCAGGATACACAGTTTTTTCAGTTTTTCACATTTCTTACCCTGGGACGTATTTTCCGAATCAGTGGCTTTTTACAGTTGCTTTCAGCCAGGCGTCCTGGTTGCACTACCTTAACGACCAGTTTATTTTGCTTTTACTTTTCTTTTTATAAGTGCTTGACAGTGATATGTTAGAAGCATATATATCTGAATTAGACTAAAACAGATCTTTCAATAAGAAGAGAATGGAAATTCTAGGTAATAAGAAAGCTTGTCATAGTTTAATTGGCAGCATTTTTCTTAGTGCTTGAGCAAATAAGAGCATGTTAGAACAGTTGGATTCCTAGTTTCAAGGAAACACAATATATTCTTTAGTTACATGTGCAAGGGCATTTGTGAGGTCTAGTACGTAGGTAGCAGCTCGTAGCAGTGATTGATCAGGAGACACAATGAGAAGACGGTTGCAGCCCTGCACGCTCGTCTACTGCGTGTGCCTTCCAGACACCCATTAAAAACGAAGAACGGCAGTCGCCCGTCTGCTGGTGGTCCACTGTGACCTCCTGATTGCTTTGTTCCTTACTCTTAGCCCGTCACTCTTTTCCAGCTTCTTTTTGAAGTGCTTAAAGCCTGATGACAGGCTTTATGACTTCTTTCCTCTTTTCTTGAGTTCCCCACACCCCGCGCTGTTACTGGCAGTGCATCCTCTCCTGCGTGGTTCTCACGGAGAAAGCGAGCCTTTCTCTCCTGATGGGCTGGCACTGCGGCCAGAACCTGCGTCTTTCCTGCAGGCCTGGAGGCGAGGGAAATCAAAGAGAGCAGAATTCTGAATCTCATGTCCTGTTTGCACAAAATAGCCACGTGCAAATCTTCAGAATAAAGATTTCTGGGGTTACATGCTAGAATCAAAGTTCCAAGTATGGATTGCACTGGTTAAACACGTAACCAATGGAAAGTGGTTTTATTTATTTTTGTTTTTTTAATTTTAAAGATAAGCACACTCTCTGATTGTAACTGCCAGCTCGGGGGACACAGTGTGCCCTCCAGTCTAGGTGCCTCCTATCTGCCCCCTGGGCTTGCGGTGCAGGGAGAGAGAGGTAGGTGTGTGGACATAATTGGCCAGGAGCAGTGTGGGAGCTTCATGGAGGGAGTGGGTGATGACTGGCTGCTCAGTGTGGGGGGAGGAGTCTCGCAGAAGTAACCTGTCCACGTGGCCTCGAGGGAGTTGTCAGGAGGGGAGTGTCCAGCTTGGGCGTGGAGACTTCTGAGCTGTGTGTGGAGGCTACGAGTGGGGCGTGAGGCTGTTGGGGACCAGATCCCACAGGGCTTTGTGTTGTGGTTGTTTCATATTTGTTTGGGTTGGCAAGTAATTTATGCCCCCTAAAACCAGACCGTATCCTCTACTTAAAAAAAAAAAAAGCCTTGTAGAGCCCTGTGCTGCCTGGGCTATATGCAGTAAGGGGGCAGGCCGCTGGGCCACAGGGCTGGGAGGGAAAGAGAACCAGGCTTGGGGCATGGGGCTATTTATAGGGAGACGTGAAACAGGCTGAAAGCTGATTTCTGGGCGTTTCCTGCAGGTCTCCATCAGTGAGGTTTTTGAGATCAGCCCAAAGGGCTATGGGGAAGGAGGCATGAGAGGCAGAGCCAGTCTCCCAGGTCCCAGCCCAGGGCCCAGGAGTGCTAACACCATATTCCGGACAGTTTTTGTCCTGTGTGCCAGCCACAGCATCCCTGCTCTCAGCAGGCACTTCAGGCAGTGGGAGAGCTGGGAGCTGATGGCTTACAAACAGGAGCTGTCACAGTAGCTGGGTGCTGCTTCCTGGGCCGGGTGCAACTGGGTGAGAGCACCCCATTCGTGTGGGCCACAGCAGCAGCTGTGTCGGGCGGAAAGTGGAGGCGCGGGCAGCCTGCAGTGGGTTACACTGAACGGATCCCTTAGCAGTCTCGGGGCCTCTGGCTGGTAAGTGTTGGCTCCTGAAGGAGTGGACCATTGGGCGTGAGCAGGATGGAAAGCATCCCCCCTCCCGCCCCCCGTTTGCTGCTCTCTAAGGAGTAAGAGTTGCATTTCAGCATGTTTTAAGTGTGCGTTTGGATGGATCCGCCTTTGCACTTTGCTACAACTGTTACCTCTCTTCATTTTATTTCAGTGGTTGATGTTTTGGCCTGCTT